TACAATTTAATTAATTATATAAACATAAAATAATAAGTTCCATATAAACCATAAAAGAATTGAATATAATTTCGAAGGAAAATTTGGAAGAAAAAATCTACAGCTGAAAAATGAAAGTTGTAAAAAAAAAAAAATTTTATGAACGTGCGCGTGCAAAAGAACGTTAAATTCATGAATACGCACGTGCACAAAACGGAGTAAAAAGCGGATTGAAAAAAAGAGGGGGAACAAATTGGAAATACCGTTTAAAACCACAACCCCTGAAAACTAGAAACTTCGAAGTCGGGATAAAATTCATATTTAAAACTTAAGTAATCTTTGCACATAACATATATATATATATATATGTGTACCTTTGATGTGGTTGAAAATGTGTGTGTGTGCTGTGTGTGCGTTTGAGTGTCTGCTAAAACAATGGAAAAAAAATAATACAGAAATAAAAAAATACGAAATTTTTTTCTCCTCCATACTTTATTTTCTGATGAAGCTTTGATAAAAATCGAAATATGTTAAATTTATTAAACTTTCCTATTTGTTCCTTATCATAGTATTGTAATTCATATTTGATCCCAATTTACACACACACACACACACACGCACACACACACACACACATATATATATATATATATATATATATATATATATATATTATGTTTAGTGGTAGGGTGGGCAGTAATATATCGTAATGTTATTGTCATCTTTGATGACAATAACATTACAATATATTAAACAATACATGGACATGGCAATAATGATAATCTGTTTTTGTTTCCATGGAAGATTTCAAGCAACGACAATTATATATACAGGGTGACCCAAAACAATGGGAATTTTTGAAGTGCGTATTGTCAGACATGAACAAGTGGCTACACTGCAAGACAGTGACCTTGAGTAAGTAAACATTTCGCCATTTAGAATTCACGATAAAATTCACAGTATCCCAGCTGAGATGTTGCAGCAGTCAATGAGGAATCTCAACAGCAAATTTCAAGAATGCATTCGTACAGGAGGACGTCATCTACAGGACGTAATTTTAAAAAATGAAAATTCCATCATTGTTTCTTAAATGGCATATTTTAAGGTTTCAATTACTATGAATAAAATATTTTTCTTCCATCACTCTTGGTTTTTATTGAATTGTTAAAAGTTCCCAGTTTTTTTGGTCACCCTATATATATATATATATATATATATATATATTATATATATATATATATATATATATATATATATATATATATATATATATATATATATATATATATATATATATATATATATATATTATAAATATATATATATATATATATATATATTTGTCTAGCTGCCTGGTGTGCTCAGAAACGTGTTGTAATAGGTTTGTAATATACAATATATCTCGATCCTGCTTTAAAAACGTTTGTAGCCAGCCATTAATTAAATAAATAGAAATAAATATATACTTTCTTTTCATTTTAAATTCTAATTCAAAATGGGGCTTTGATAGTAGAACTTGAATTTATCTATAGAAATCATCCTTTTTCTTAAAAGATGATATTCAATTCTGCCTAAGATGTACATTCTGGGACATCGATTCATTTTTAATTTTTGATCATAATTTAATATTTTTTTGTTGAATCTCATCGAAAAAAATAACAGGCAACAATTTTAATATCAAAAAATTTCTTCTTGCTAATAACTTATAAACCACAGGATTTACCTTCAAATTTTATAACTGGAAGATAAGACGACCGCCTATTTTCGCCATTTTAAAGTTAAAATCTCCTCTTGATCCTATTTTAAATATGGTACATGTATCGAATTTCTTAAATAAATAGAGTAAATTTTATATTTTCAGATTCAAACGTCACTCTAATGTGTTCATCAGTCAGTGTAAGTGACGGAAATAAAGAAATAAAAGAGATACATGTTCCTTTTTGAATGAATTCCCATAAACATAGCTGTCTTTTACTGTTTTGAATGCGATCTTTAAATGGATAAGAAAAACACAAACCCAGTTGTATTTTTAATTCAACATCATCGAAAAAAAGATTCTTTGGCAAAGCTTTTAAAACCATCAAAAAATAGAATTAACAACTTATAAACCACAGGAAATAATGAATTAATATTTTATAACTTGTTTAATAAATCCTATCAGTTTATTTATAAAGGAATTATATTTTAAAGTTAAAAGTATGGTATTTTACACTGACATATTCATCTAAACATGTTTAAAATGGATTAATTATTTAATAAATTCCATAGTAAAACTTTTATGACTAAACGATTATTATCTAAAATCAAACAAATTGTTCATCAGTCAGTTAAATAACGGAAAAAAGAAATAAAAGAGAAACAAATCAATTTGTCCTGTGAATATCAAATTTACCAAACCCACTTTCTTTATAAAATTCAGAAATTGCAAGGTTTTGTTGATAAGAAAAAGCCCAAACCTTTAAATAATTTCATTCTATTCTTTTAGTACCACATCAAACAATATGCGATTCTTTAGCGTTGAACTTTTGGAATTTGTTTATAATCCTGTCACTGTAAATAACATAGAATTAAATAATATAAATTTATAAAATAAAATATAAATATAAATTAATATTTTAAATATATTTGTTTAAATAAATAAATATAAATATATAAATGTTATAAATATAATTATATTATGTAATTTGTTTAAATATGGTATATTTATGCAGCAAGTATTCATGTCAACATATATTAATCATTGGATTAATGAAATTTAATTATTTGTTTAATAAAACTTTTCATGATAAACGATTATAATCTAAAATAAACAAATTCATTCTATAGTTTAAATAATTTGCAAAAGGTTGATAATCCGTAGAAAACAAATCACTATATGTCCATTAGTGCATATCAAATTTGATGGATTTGTTTAACCCACTTTCCCTGATTATACAGCTTACATAAATTGGAATAATTTTATTGTTAACTATAGTCCAATTTGTTTAAATGAATTTCTATCTATGCTTTTTAGTATTTGCTATGTCACTATATATGTAATCATTAGAGGGAATGAAAGTTTGGATGGATTTGTTTAATAAATCCTGTCAGTGATAAATATATATATAAATGGCTAATATAATATAAATATATATAAAATATTTGCCAAATTTAAATATAAATATATATATAAATATAAATATATAAATATAAATATATAAATATAAATATATAAATATAAATATAAATATAATATATATAAATATAAGTGTCCAATTTGTTTAAATGAATTTCTATCTATGCTTTTAGTATTTTCTATGTCACTATATATGTAATCATTAGAGGGAATGAAAGTTTAGATGGATTTGTTTAATAAATCCTATCAGTGATAAGACAGCTTATATAAATGGCTAGTAAATAATTTGCAATGCATTCCTATAGTAAAATCATTTGCAATGAATTTCTATCTATGCTTTTAGTATTTTCTATGTCACTATATATGTAATCATTAGAGGGAATGAAAGTTTGGATGGATTTGTTTAAGAAATCCTATCAGTGATAAGACAGCTTACATAAATGGCTCGTAAATAATTTGCAATGCATTCCTATAGTAAAATCATTTGCAATGAATTTCTATCTATGCTTTTAGTATTTTCTATGTCACTATATATGTAATCATTAGAGGGAATGAAAGTTTGGATGGATTTGTTTAAGAAATCCTATCAGTGATAAGACAGCTTACATAAATGGCTAGTAAATAATTTGCAATGCATTCTATAGTAAAATCATTTGCAATGAATTTCTATCTATGCTTTTAGTATTTTCTATGTCACTATATATGTAATCATTAGAGGGAATGAAAGTTTGATGGATTTGTTTAATAAATCCTATCAGTGATAAGACAGCTTACATAAATGGCTAGTAAATAATTTGCAATGCATTCCTATAGTAAAATCATTTGCCATGAATTTCTATCTATGCTTTTAGTATTTTCTATGTCACTATATATGTAATCATTAGAGGGAATGAAAGTTTGGATGGATTTGTTTAAGAAATCCTATCAGTGATAAGACAGCTTACATAAATGGCTAGTAAATAATTTGCAATGCATTCCTATAGTAAAATCATTTGCCATGAATTTCTATCTATGCTTTTAGTATTTTCTATGTCACTATATATGTAATCATTAGAGGGAATGAAAGTTTGGATGGATTTGTTTAAGAAATCCTATCAGTGATAAGACAGCTTACATAAATGGCTAGTAAATAATTTGCAATGCATTCCTATAGTAAAATCATTTGCCATGAATTTCTATCTATGCTTTTAGTATTTTCTATGTCACTATATATGTAATCATTAGAGGAATGAAAGTTTGATGGATTTGTTTAAGAAATCCTATCAGTGATAAGACAGCTTACATAAATGGCTAGTAAATAATTTGGTAATGCATTCCTATAGTAAAATCATTTGCCATGAATTTCTATCTATGCTTTTAGTATTTTCTATGTCACTATATATGTAATCATTAGAAGGAATGAAAGTTTGGATGGATTTGTTTAATAAATCCTATCAGTGATAAGACAGCTTACATAAATGGCTAGTAAATAATTTGCAATGCATTCCTATAGTAAAATCATTTGCAATGAATTTCTATCTATGCTTTTAGTATTTGCTATGTCACTATATATGTAATCATTAGAGGGAATGAAAGTTTGGATAGATTTGTTTAATAAATCCTATCAGTGATAAAACAGCTTACATAAATGGCTAGTAAATAATTTGCAATGTGTTCTTGGTCTTCTCCTCATATAATTTCGAATGAACATTCTAGTGTCTATTGGAGTGAATGAAAGTATTGATAGATTGGTTTAATAAATCCTTTCAATGTGTCTCTGGCTACATAACAAGCAGCATGTAACGTCAATAAAAATGAAGTAAATTTCTAAATTGACAGTTGGTTGTGTTGATTGGAGCAATCCACTTTTTGATCGCAGCACGTGTCCAGATGGAGTTGTTTACATTTTGTTGGAAGGCATAGTCACCGCCATCGTGATGAAATGACACGACACAGACGGAGAAGGAGGAAGAGGTGGAAAAAGAAAGGAGGAGGAGGAGGAGGAGGAGGAGGAGAGGCGGAACGGAAATGATGTAACATTCGCAGATCGATTGATAAGCACGCCACACCCACTTGTCACTTCGTTTAAATCTCTGTTTAGTATGGCTTTGTGTGTGTGTGTCTGTGTGCGTGTGTGTGTCTGTGTGCGTGTGTGTTATGTGCGCGCATGTGCGTATTGTTTTGATGGAAATTTCTTCTTTCTTTTTTCCTTTCTTTCTTTTATTTGTGTCTTCTTTGTTTCATTTATTTGTACTTTTTTGTTCCATTGTTCAAGCAACTTGTTTGTTTGTTTGTTTGTTTTTTCTTTTTCTTCTTTTGTTTGCCTCGGTATGTTCTCTTTCTCTTATTGCGTTTTCTTTTCTTTCTTTCTTTCTTTCTTTCTTTCTTTCTTTCTTTCTATTCGCCGTGACATGGTTTCTTTCTTTTATTTCATCTGTTTTCGTTCTTTCTTTCTTTCTTTCTTTTAATGTTATTCTTGATTTGTTTTTCAGATTATGTCGTTCTTTCTTTCTTTCTTTTTGTCTTTTTTTCTTTCCTTCTTTTTTTCTTTTACTGTTATTCTTGATTTGTTTTTCAGGTTCTTTCTTTCTTTCTTTCTCGGTCTGGTTGTTTTTTATGTTCTTTCTTTCTTTTTTCTTTTACCAGTATTCTTGATTTGGTTCTCATTTTTTTCCCTCCTCTTTCTTCTTTTTCTTTTTCCTTCTCTCCTTCCTTTTTCACAAGTCTTTCCTTCCTGCTGTTTTATCTGTTTGTTTACTTTGTTTGTGCGGCGAGGCGTGTATGTGTGTGCATGTGGGCGGGATGGAGAGCAGAGGCAGTTGCTGCAAAATTCTCGCCCTGACCTAATTTTCAAATCTCCCCAAAGAACCAAACACCAGAACTATTCTTTGAAGGCATTCATGGTCAAGCCGAGAATTCTACAAAACCTAGCCTTTCTTTCTTTCTTTCTTTTTCACATACTTATTTTGTCTTCTTTCTTTCTCTCTCTCTCTCTCTCTCTCTATCATCTCTATCTCTCTGTGTATATATATATATATATATATATATATATATATATATATATATATATATATATATATATATATATGTGTGTGTGTGTGTGTGTGTGTGTGTTTTGTTTATGTTATTTTCATACACACAAATATTTAAGTAAAGGCTCTGTTTATAATAAACAGTATTAACAACATTTACTGCCGTGAATGTCCTAAAAATCTCAAAGAAAATGTGTGTCCTCCGACAGGAATCGAACCTGTATCCCACACAGCACCGTCATATAGTCTGAGGTGCTCTATCATTTAGCTGCAGAGGAAGCGTCTGGCTAGAAAGGTTGAATTACTACTTTTAAACTACAAATTTTACCATGATTTCTCTAGAACGCTCATATCTGTTAATTATAAACCGAGCATTTACTTAAATATTTGTATCCATAAAACTAACGTATAAACAAAAATATATTAAAAGAATTGCCGGACTTGGTCCATTTCATAATATATATATATATATATATATATATATATATATATATATATATATATATATATAATGCAATGTAAACAATGCCTCTGAAAAGACATTGTTGAAACATGTCGAAATTCAAAGAAAAGAATGTTCGAACCTAATATGGTCATAAATTTAACAATCCACTCAATGCTGTTCGTCAAAAAGCCTTCATGAGCGGAATGTTGGTAAACACCGTTTTATTTATCCTCCAACACCTCGACACACACACACACACATATATATATATATATATATATATATATATATATATATATATATATATATATATATATATATAGTTTGCCAAAAAACGCAATACCTAAGGTTTAAAATGTATTTTTAAAGATTACATTTTTTTCTTGAAGCTTTTATTTTAGTTTTAATTTTAGGTTAATCAATTACATTTAATATTTCCATTAAGAAAAATACTTTGTTGGATTTCAAAACTAATTTAAATTGACTGATTGATTTGTTTGGAAATTACTAAACATCTTTGAGTTTAGAGCCATTTTTAGCCATCCATCATCACGATGTAATTCTAATTATTAAAAAAAATCTTAATAAAAAATAAACTCTACATTTCTGAAAATTTATTTGACGAATATTAGTTACTTTAAAGTTTAATCAATCAAATGTTACTTAAATATCGCTGAACACATTTTAACATGGTGGTAGCTGTTTATTTAAGGTGTACATAGATTGACAACTTGACAGACAGGATTCTTTTTTTCTTCGGTGGATATATCTGTAAAAATTATATGAAGAATATAATGTGAGCGCCTTTTTTATATAATTTTTCCACTACACAGTAATATTAAAATTTTGGAAAATATTCTTCGCAATCTTGTGTTTTATAGGTATTTAGCATTTAAATTTTTCTATAGTTATCGTTTTTATTTTCTGATAATTTCAGGTATGGATGTCCGTATTTACAAAAAATTTGACACGTTTAATTCAAAAAAATTCAAAACTCTTTTTAAAATATTGGGGCTCGTTAAATTGTAATAAGCTTTTCAATTTGCGATTAGGAAATATAGTTTTTACTTAAAAACAATATCACCTAGCCTGTACAAATTAAGACAGAATTTTAAAAGATTTAAAACTTTATAAATTATTATAATTAAACTTTAAAAAAAAATATTGTAAAACATTCATTATTCATCGAAAATTTTTCTTTCTTAAGACAATTGTTTCCATAATATATTTTATTCATAAAAACAATTAAAGCTTTTCTAATTAAATAATGTCGTGGTTTTATTGCATATTTTATTTTACGATTCACAGCAGATTTGGGGCAATTGACGGTCTTCTTTTAGAAAATAAAATTAATGATTTAAATTCTCCAAGGTTTCGGCCTTTAAGTAATATAAACATTAAGCGGGTTAAAATTTAATTTTTTCTAAATTTCATAAAATTAAATAAGTGAGGGTAACAGATGTAAAAAAAAAAAAAAATTGATAATTTCATTGATTTGCGAATAAGTTCTGAAACTTTTATTAAAATCCGACAATTATTTGACTTTTACAAGCAATGTGTTTAACTAACAACCAACCCCCCAAAAACGCCTCAGTGCGGACTTATCTCAATGAGAATCTAGCAGGATGATGGATCGGGTGAGCCAGTGATAATGACAATGTGCTGTTGAAGTAGCAACCACATTCACCTGACTTGACAACTTGTGATTTTTTTTTCCTATGGGGCTATGTTAAAGGAAAGGTCTATATCTCTCCCTCATCCTACAAGCCGAGAGGAACTTGAGCAGAAAACCATTGAAGTACTGGAGAATGTTACGCAAGACATGCTACAGCGTGTTTGGTAGGAGCTGGACTATCGACTTAACGTGTGTCGTATCACAGGTGAAATGCATATTGAACATTTGTGAAGCTTATAAAAGTTATAAAATCCCTTTGAAAATTTAGCTCGAATTTTGATAATTAAATCTTTTATTGTTCAACATGAAGCCTAATTAATTTCGTTTATCTGGGACATGTAGTTACTCAGACATTTATATTTTAAATTATGTCAACTTTTTGTGGGATATCCTGTACAATAGCAGCAGACAGATTTCTTTCTGCAAGCGAAAAGAATTGGCCTCAGTATATAAAAAGTGTCAAAATGTTAGATATGGTATATTTAAGCAGCAAGTATTCATCCAAACATGTTTAATTAATGGATTAATTAATTAATTAGTAAAACTTTTATAACTAAACGATTATTATCTAAAATAAACAAATTCTTCTACCTTTAAATAACTTGCAAAAGGTTGATAATCCGTAGAAAACAAATCAATCTGTCCTGTGCATATCAAATTTACCAAACCCACTTTCCTCATTATGTACCCTAGAAATTAGACTCTTTTTGTTGTTAACTATAAGTGTTCTTTTTGTTTCAATTTCCAATGAATTTAGTATTTGCTATGTCACTATATATGTAATCATTAGAGGGAATGAAAGTTTGGATGGATTTGTTTAAGAAATCCTATCAGTGATAAAGACAGCTTATATAAATGGCTAGTAAATAATTTGCAATGCATTCCTATAGTAAAATCATTTGCAATGAATTTCTATCTATGCTTTTAGTATTTGCTATGTCACTATTCATGTAATCATTAGAGGGAATGAAAGTTTGGATGGATTTGTTTAATAAATCCTATCAGTGATAAAGACAGCTTATATAAATGGCTAGTAAATAATTTGCAATGCATTCCTATAGTAAAATCATTTGCAATGAATTTCTATCTATGCTTTTAGTATTTGCTATATCACTATATATGTAATCATTAGAGGGAATGAAAGTTTGGATGGATTTGTTTAATAAATCCTATCAGTGATAAGACAGCTTACATAAATGGCTAGTAAATAATTTGTAATGCATTCCTATAGTAAAATCATTTGCAATGAATTTCTATCTATGCTTTTAGTATTTGCTATGTCACTATATATGTAATCATTAGAGGGAATGAAAGTTTAAGTGATAAGACTGCTTTATGACCGAATTGATCACGATTCTTCTGTTAAGCTTGGAGAGTAATTATACATTTTTATGGCTCGAAGTAGAGTCGAATAGTGTTATAAAAACCTCGGAGAATTCCACGTAGTTTTCTTTCATCATTTTAACATATAACAGTTCAGAGCTTAATCTAACAAAGGGACAATTTTGCTGTGACACGATTTGGACATTTCTTGCAGTTACACCTGGTATATAAATTATAAAATCTGTCAGATTAATAAATAAAAAATTCCATTACTTTAGAAATTGGTTTATTTATGTTAGGATACAAAACTGAGCAGATATGAACATTTCAAGAGTTGGAGAAAGATTTACATTTGTAAGACACTATTGAACTTTGCTTGATCGGCAATCCACTCCATAGCTTAGTTGGTATAAACTTATCGGTAAGGTATAGTTAGGCAGCAAGTATTCATTCCCAAAAGTTTTACTAAATGCAGTCGACAAAATCTGTTTAATTTCTTCTTTTTTTCCAAATGTCGAATAAGATGTTGAATATTATACTCGGAAAAGATGCACAGCACACAATGCAAGAAAAGTCTAAAAACTCTAGAAGCTGTTATTCTAAATGAACATGATAAATATATATATGCTATAAACGATGGTATGTGTGTGTATATATATATATATATATATATATATATATATATATATATATATATATATATAAGCAAATGTAAATGGATATAGATCCGACAGAATGAAAAATTTTTCTTTTCTTCCAAACAAAATCTTTAAATGCAATTATGTTGTTTAAAATGAATGAAATGTCGACGTCTATTTCCAAAACAGATTCTTCAGGAAATATTCATTAAAACTTTCTTTTTATGCCCAATTTGTCAAATTGAACTGAATTCTATTTAATGAATATTGTCCTGAAGAACAGATTAAAACCGAAAACGTCAGACGTCGACATTTCATTCATTTTAAAAAAATATAATTGCATTTAAGGATTTTTGTTTGTTTTTTTCCAAATTTTTCTTTCTTATATATATATATATATATATATATATATATATATATATATTCTGTGTGTGTGTGTATATATATATATATATTTGTGTGCGTGTATATACATGTATATATGTATGTATGTATGTATTCGACGTATGAGGGTCAAGCAGCTCAGTTCCTGGGAACCGACAGCTCAGACACCAGCACATGAGATTTGATTCTAGTGGTGAAGGTTTCGTTCAGAACCATCCACACTTTTTTGAGGGCCGAATACAGAGACCTGGTGAACTAACAAACGACCCTGCGCAGGTTTTCAATTCAGAGTTGTCCTTCTCCTAGACCAGTAGCCATCCAAGGCTATAGAACCAGGTCTGTTCT